AAAAGCAACTGGTTCTGGCCACTGGCTAGGACACTGGAGCCCTGAGAAGACCTTGCCTCTTTCCTCTCTGTGGACTTCTGCAGTCTTCCTCGATTGCGCGGGAAGCCCTGGGGGTCTCATTGACTTGGGCTGCTTTCACAGACAGCCTTCCTCGTGGCATCCTTAGCTGCCTGACCTGACAAAGACCAAACCCTGTGCTCCTGGGACTCACTGGTCACAGGCCAGAAGGAGCTGAAGGAAAGGAGTCAGCCCTTAGTGAACGCTTGGGCACGTTCCTTTGTTTCAGGTCGCAGACACAGGACACAGTCTCCTGCCAAGGCCAACAAGAGTGATTTGGACCCAAGAAGAGCAGCCTGCTCCAAGAGTCCTCGCTCCCAGCCCGTGCTCTCTCCCGTGTGTCCCTGTGCTAGGGGTTGGACCAGCAGCCAAAGGAGCAGGGCTAGTCCTGGGCATAGCAAAGGGCAGCAGATGCCAGGGAAGCTAAACTACCCTTGCTTTGCCAAAGCCCTGCAGGGTCAGGTTGGCTACTGTTGCCTTCAAGAGGGATTTTTAGGGATGGCTTTTCCTAGCAGCAGCAGTATTTTCCCTGCTGGGCTACCCCAGTCTTCCTGCATTGGAAAAGGCTTGGTCCTGTAGCCCCCAGGCCTTCATTCTTGGCACAGCGTAGTCCAGCTGTGTCCACATCGCAATGCCTGGCCAGCAGGGTTGTTTCTAGGATGCTTATGTGTTCATACTGGTATAAAATGGATGAGATCTCAGATTCAGGCTCTCTGGGGAACTTTGAGAGGCCATCCTTGATATCCTGCCCAAACTCTGTGCCTCACTCTTCTCCAGTTACTTGCAGCTCCTCTGTCTGCATTGGTTCAGCCCTTCAGCAAAAGGCTTTTAGTCCAGGTCTGCTCCTTGATGGCCCTTGTCCTTATCCACTCGTTACCTTTGATTTCAGCATCCGTGCACCCAGACCCTGCCCTGTCAATCTTTCCTGGATGTCTCCAGGTAGCACAAAGCACTTTGCCTGGACAGCAGCAGGGTAGCACAGGGCTTTGGGCTAGGAGCAATGTCCCTCCGATTGCAGAGATGTGTGATCTCTACAAGCTGGTCCCAACCAAGCACAGACCCTCAGAGCCTTTGGAGATGTCTGATTTTGATGGTGGCCCTTCCAGTCACGTGGGAACAGAGCTGGAAGTCCAGGCTGCCTGTGGCTCTGCTGGGATCTGAGCGGTTGTGCCCCTGCTCCCACCTCTGCCTGGGAGAGGCTGCAGGAACTGCGCTGATGCCTTCTAGCAATTGGAAAAATATCAGCTCAAGGAAATGTCCTGGATTTGGCCCACTGAACTTTAGATATTTAACTGAGAAAGCAAAGATATATTTACTGTTCTCTGGTCCTGCACCCATCAGAAGATGACTTGACCCCTGAAAGGTGACAGCCTCAGGCAGGCTCTAACTTTCCTTTGGACCATTTTCCTCTCTTGTGATGATCGTGAGATTGTGCAGCCGGTAGAGGAAGGACCAGAGACAGTATCTGGTGGGAAGATTCTTTAGAGATGTCTGGACCTGTTCTAAAGGAGAGAAACTTAGTTCCTGTAAGAACTAAGCATCATTCTTGGATAAAATGTTGAGACAACCAGAATTCCTGGTGCCTGCAGGTGGAATTTGGGAGAATCACCCTGATATTCTCCAGATGAAAAGTTTTCCATTTCATTTTGAAAAAGACCTAAAGGATAGAAGACCTAAAAATACAGTTTAACTGAAGATGAAAATGTGCACTTGGAATCAGAAAACCATCTTGTGCTGACCTAAAGGAAACAAACAGTGGAGGAAAGGAGAAAGAGGGTCCAGCTACCCCATACCCCTCACAATGTAATCTCCTTGGGAAAGGTATGACCAGAGCATGAGAACTCCCTGTGACTTCAGTCCTGCCAGGGAAGGGGTGATGACGGTGCAGATCCATTTACCACCCCTGTTCCTGCAGCTCCTCTTTGGGACCAGCATGTTCTGGACTTTTTTTCAGTTCACTCCTCAGCCAGACAGATCCATCATCCCCTCAGCTGTGGTGACGACGGCTGTTCCTTTCTTTCTGCCGCAGCGCTGCAGGGCTTTGCGGACAATTGAGTTGCATTGAATTCCTGTGACTGCTTCCTTACACCCAAGTTCCCAGACTGTTCCACAAATCCAAAGCAGGCAAGCGCTTCACAGCACTGAGCGTGCGTCCTGCACACGCACTGGCAAAGCATGCCCTCTGCCGTCACCGAGGCCACAAGACTGCCTCTCTCCCAAGACATCGCCTCCCTAATGCTCGCTACTCTCTCTCAGTTCCATATCTCTGCCTTGCCAGCAGGGAAAAAAAAAAGTTTTTCCTACACTGCAGCACTCAGCCACCTTTCAGTGCTGAGCTGCAATCAGGGAGCTTGGGCCATGACATCCCTCACCTGAGGGAAAACCCTGTTTCTGGAAGCGCAGCCTGCTCTGGAGGGTGGTAAAGAAACCCACCAAAGCCCCACATCTCTTGCAACTTGCTGCAAACAGAAGAATTTCCTGCTTGCAGAGGTCTAGTGCTGCCCTAGATGAGTGTAGGAAGTGCAATTGGTCATGCCTGAATGGTAATGAGAAATAAGAGCTAAACAAGGGAGAGAAACTGCTGACTGACATGAGGACTCCCTGTGCTGGGCCATGTGGCAAACAGCGGCTTTAGGAAGGCATGAGGAATACAAGAGCACTTTGAAGGATGCCAAAGACAGACCCACCTCTGTGGCGTGCAACAGGCTCCCTTCTGCTTTTTGAAATGAGGGTCCCCATACCCTGGTAAACAAACAAAACAAAAAGCGCAAAAGAACAACAACAAAAAACCCTCTCTTGCACAGCGCATTGGCACATACTTTCCCATGTGGGGCGGGGGGGAGGCATGGAGAGGATCTTTAACAAATACCGTCAAAATAAAGTGCTCTGAAGTCTGCGTGTGTGCATAAGCTGAGATCACATCCCGTTGCCTGGCTGTGCACACACTTCACAACAGAGAGATCCTGGTCCATCTCGTGGCCAAACTGCGCCATGTCCTCCCTGTCCACACGCACCCGCTGCCGGGTCGACATGACATGGAGCTCACAGCGTTTACCCTCGGCGAGGGCCAGGCTCACACCAAAGGGCCCCGGGGTGCGCGGCTCCCGCGGAAGCCGCAGCCTCGCCTGCCCTCTCGTGGGTAGCGGGCGGATTACACGGGAGCCACGCAGCTCCGCGCCCACGACCCCGGTCCGCGGGGTTGTGCAAAGCAGGAGGGAAGAGTCCTGCAAAGCCGCCAAAATAAATAAAGCGCAAACAGTGTCACCGAGTCCTGCTATGCCGCTGAGGGCAACATCCGCATTTTCAAAAGTCAAGGGCTATTGTGCCTACATGCCAACCTTCCTTAACTTAAATAGTGTAATTTTATCTTAAACAGTGTATTTTTTGCTCAGTGCAAGTTTTTCAGCACCTAAATTTGGCCAAGGAACTAGATGGTTGATAAGTGCAACAAGAGCTGGGCTGAAGTACTTCAGAGCATCACTGCTGGCACCCCTATGCCCTGCTCAGCCCCAGAAAAGCTGGAATACCATTTCTCTGCTGGATTTGCTGATAACCCGGGCCAAGAAGTAAAATGGGGAAAGAGCTGCGAGTAAACTGTGTTGTGTTCAGCGCAGAAGAAATGAGAAAGGGAAAACTCCACCATATCCTTGCATTTTAGGCATGTCTTTATACGGGAGGAGGTGGAAACAGGTAGGAAAGAAAAACTACTCAAACACATTCTGGGATATTTCCTAGAAAGCACACGGTTAATCAGTTCAGCAGTGGTGTTTCTTCTGAGGCCTGGGAAGAGTGACCCCTTGCATTTGGAGGCAGGTTTTCCAAGGGTGAGTATCCCTGCAGCTTGGAGCCCGGCAGGCCCTATCAGCTCCCCATGTGCGGGCTCTGCAGCCCCACACGTCCACAGTGCAGCCCACCGTCCGAGAGCTCCGTCGCCTCTGCAAATACCCCGAGTGCTGAACGCAGCTCGCCAGCGAGGGCCGGCTGTGCCAGCTCACTGCAGACCTCTGCCCTGCGGAGAGTGAGGAAGAGATTCCTATCGCGTCAGCTGAACTGCCAGGAAAAGCCGTGAGATCATTGTTAGAGAGAGAGAAAAAAAATACTGCTGGGAGGAGGAAACAGCCATGATCCAGGAATACACGGGATTTATTTTGTAAATGCACCTAAGCAAGTCGGTGGGAAATGGAGGTTCTTGATATGCAGCTTGCTGGAAGCAGGGGTGATCATCCCACTTGCAAACACGATGATTTGAGCAGTTGGAGAGGTAGGGGGCCCGAAGACAGCGAGTTTCTCGCAGAGAGGGGAGGAAGCGAAACGAGTGTCCCAAATGACACATAAGCGGTCACGAGCCCAGCCAGCCTTATTCAACACCAGCAAACCCAGAGGGCATGGAGAGGGGAAGGAAAGGCGGCAGCAGGACTGCAAAGCAGGCTTTCCTGTTTCCATTGCTCATGCAACGCCCCGTTTGGGGACATTTTCCCCAAATTTCTCTCTGACATTTATAAGCCAGGGAGGTAGCACAGGAAGGGAGGTTTTGGGGTGAGGAGCTCCTCCCCACCAATTGGGGCTGTCCTTGCCAACCCTCTGGTCTGCCTTGTTCCCAAGAAAGGATGCTTGGCATGTGGGACAGGATGTGCATTCCCTGCACATGCAGGCCTACTCCGTGTCCTCTTCTCTCTGCCTGTTTGGACATGGTGCATGAGAAATCCTCCTCTTCCCCTTCACCATGGACCATCTGGCCTCTCCCCTTCCCACTAATATTTCAAAGCACCCAGCCACCACCCATCTTTAAGCCCTGTGCTAAAGTGATCCATGAATTAACATTTAAGTAAAGATGAAATAAAACCCATACAGCTCAGACCTCACCAACATGTCGACCCGTTGTCCTGCTCCACACCAGCTCTAGTTGCGGCCAGTCCAGCCAGGACAATTTGGAGGTCTCCTTAGCTTTCTGCAAGCAGTGCATTGTCAAGAGCACATGGCCCAGACACACAAGCAACCAGAGAGCTGCTGGAGGGGGCTGCAAGCCCCATGTCCTGAGCCCCTACCAAGCTGCCAGCCCCACACAGACAGCCCCAGACCACCAGCCATGGGGATCAGCTGCTCTGCCAGTAGCAGCTTTTCTCCTTGAGCAACCCTGGCACATGCAACAGGTCCCAGGAAATATTAATAACACTCCAGCCATCCGGAACCAGCTTTAGGACTCCCAGTAAGGGTCTTTCCCTGGCTCTGCCCTATTTCTGGTGGCCATTTGGCACCATTACCCAAAATAGCAAGTGGGAGGTGGTGATGCACCCCCTCAGATCCAGTGCACTGAGCTCAAGTCCTACTGCAACCTTGCGCCAGAAGCCACCTCTGCTCAAGCTCTCTGCAAGCAGCAGCGTAGTTGGGGTAAAGGAGCTATCGTTTGGCTTTGCCAACTGCTCACCCTTTAATAGCTTAGTTGTGCCTGTTGAGATACTCATGGCCAATATCCTTGTGGAAAAAAAAATCATAGAGAAGCTTCGGCCTCCTTGAACTGCTCCCAGCCTGGAAAAGCCTGCTTCAACCAGAGTCACTTTTGATGTGGGGCCAAAGTTGCACTGAGCCAAGAGCTTGTGCCCAGACTTGGGCTGTCAAACCCCTACCCCAAGCAGGGATTCATGTCCGAGATATTTAAGGAGAAGGCAAAAACAGAACTCCCACTCCAACATACATCACTTTTCTTCATTTTATTCTTTTATTTGTACAGCAATATTTTACAGAACGCATTAATGCAGTTTAGACACAGCCCAAACCCTGTCTCCCGAGATTGTTTATAACACAAGCATGTAAAATAAGACTGGAAAACAAAAACAAACAAACAAAAAAAAGAAAAAAAAAAAAACATTCCCAAATAGAGTTCCACCAAAACTCCTTTTGCAACGTCAGGCTGTACCTTGAAGAAGAAACTGAGCTCAATATAGTCCATACATTGAAAACTTCCATTGAAAAGAAAGGCACCGTGCGAAACCACATTTTACATATATACAGACTGAGAACTAGAACAAAAAAATTACACTTTATTATTATTTTAAATTCCTTCTGCAGCTTTGTTGGTTTAATACACACTTTTTTTTGTAAATTGTAAACCTTCACTTGCAAAAAAATACAAATACACTGATGCATTTAGACAAAATATTTTCTTACTTGTACAGATGCAATACTTTAAAATATCTCGTTAAGTGCTCTATCATAATAAAGATTCTCAGAATGGCTTCTGCCTGCAGAGTCCAACTGAGCCTTTAATGCATTTTATATATTTTTAATATAGCTTTTTTAAAGGTCTATATATATTTATTATATATATATTTATATATTTATATCTATATATATTTACAACTCTGCCATAGATTCCTTCACCTTTGGTTAAAAAAGTTAAAGCCCTCTCTTTAATAGCATACTTTCTCTTTAAAAGAACACACATTTTGCATACAAAAGAAAAAAATCTGTTCCCATAAATCAACATTACATTCCTCATCTTCAAACGGCAAAGGCTGTGAAGGTTAGACTCCAGAGTTTATCAACACTCCACTGCACAGACATTTAAAATGACTATTTTATTTTTATGTTTATATACAATAAGATCTGAATAGTTTTTTTCTTTTAGTTTCACATAACTGGGAAAAATAAAACCCGTGTATTTTTTTAAATTTCTAATTTTTTTCCACCTATCTGCGCTATGGGTTTAGAGGCACTCCATCATATGATGATTTTTTTTTTTTCTCTTTTTTCCTTGTTTTTTAAAGTGTTGCAAGTAACCTTTGGACAGCTTCCCCCCCGTCCCCACCCCGACCCTTCCGCACTACAACGCGCCTGGGGAAATCCTGGGCCTTCAGCACGCCTTGGGGAGCTCCGGGGGCACCTCGGTCGCCGAGATGCGGTACTGCACCTTGGTGTTGGTGATGGCCCCGTGCTTCTGCCGGAGGTGGAGCCGCAGCTGGCTTTTGTGGCGGAAGTGCAGGTTGCACTTCTCACACTGTGCGGGCGAGAGGCAGAGTGGGGAGCGTGAGATCCGTGGTCCGAGTGCGCCCACATGAACCCCCGGCCCTCGCGAGCGGCCTCTCTTCAAGCCCTTTCACCCAACCACACACCGCAGTGCGGGTGCTCCTCTGTACATTTTGGTTTAAGAGATGTACGAGGACCAAGGTCACTTCGCATGGGGCACCAGCTCCCTAGGAACGCAGCGCCAGGCTCCTTCACCTAGATGCTCAAAGGACTCTGCCCTGACACCCATGCACAGCAAGAGGGGGTAATTTAAGCGCATAGCTATTTGGAGAAGTGTGACCTTCTTCCAGAAGAGGTGAGAGGAAAAAAAAGAGCAGCTAAGATGTACCCAGGGCTGGGATGCGTGTCAGAAGCGGAGCCAGTTTCCAGCACAGCCAGTCGTGACAAAATACCGTGCTGGCACCAGCTAACGCTGGAGCAAGGGACAGGGTACGGGGAGCAGATGTGACCTTGGCAAACAGCCTTGTAGGGCCCCACAAGGCAAGCAAAGGGCACCCAGGAGCTGGTGCTGATCCAGGTCCCTGCAAGCACCCAAGCGCCTGCCCACCCGCTGGGCTCCCTCCCGGCCGCGAGCTCCCACAAGGTCACTCACATGATACGGCTTCTCTCCCGTGTGGATTCGAAGGTGACTTTTGAGCGTCTGCAGATGCCGGAAGCGTGTGCCGCAGATTTCACACGGGTAAGGTTTCTCCCCAGTGTGGATTAGCACGTGAGCACGGAGATGGGCCACCTGCGGGAGAGCAGCAGGTTACAGGAGCAGCATGTCCAGGAGGAGGGCTCTGCTCGGAGTCTGCTGGTTGGTGTCAGCCAGTCCACCCTCCCACCAGAGCCGCCCAAATCCTGGCTGCGAGTTCAGTCGCTCAATTCTTGCTCAGCCACAGCTCAAAGAGGGCTTTTATTTTTCTATACGTTCTAGCTGTCAGAGTCACAAAGGTCTGAGGTCTCCAATCCATAACAGGAATTGGAGGAGAGACATTAAAAACAAAAATCAGGCTTCTTAGCAAGCCAGCAAATCAGCCCTCTAGGGGCTCCAAGCTCCTTTTTACTCCATCATTTCATGGAAAGAGGGTTGGCAGGTCTCAGACACAAGCCTGGCCATCTCCACCTGCCCTGACACTGCAGGCACCATTGGCAACACGCACCTGGACAAATCGGGCTCCGCAGGTCTCGCACTTGTACGGTTTCTCGCCGGAGTGGATGCGCGTGTGGGTTTTCAGGTTGGCTGGCCGGTTGAACTGTGCCCCGCAGATGTTGCAGCGATACGGTTTTTCCCCTGTGGAACCAAGACAAAGGCAGAGGGGATAAACACCAGCTTGCTTAGCACCTGTGTTCCAGAGCTGCTGCCCCTCTCCAGACACCAACTCCCTGGCACAACCTAGAGCTCCAAGTCCCACGGCTTGTTTCGGAGCTCGGCAGCCACCAGGTCAGCCCAGGACACCCCCGGAGCTGGGTGCAGCGTGGGAGCAAGCTGGGCATTGCAGAGCCTGCCCTCTGGCACGCAGCACACGCGCGACACATGGGTATTTTTAGCAAGGGAGCCCAGGCAGGAGCAGCCTCTGTTCCCCAGCTCCTCCCAGGGACAGAGGGTTATGCCACTATTGTCTTCTTCGGGTTGGGAGGTGCAGCCTTTGACGTGAAAGAAAATGTTGGCCAGCTCTGCCAGCGAGGATTAACAATTTCACTCCTCCTGGCCCAGCAACAGAGTCTGGTACCCTGGACGTCTCTACAGCTATGAGTAGAACATACAGAGCTGCCTGGCTCAGTTTGGTCTCCTAATGGTCTTGAGCACATCCCGTCTCAATTGTTCATCACCTCTTTAGAGGAGCCAGAAGAGCCGATAGAGCAGAAAGCCACGGCACACCCAGCAACAGCACCCCCGAGTCATTATTCGGTTACAATCACTGCTGCAAGCCCCAGCTGACTCTCTCACCACCAGCAGAGAGCTGCAAAAAGATTTCAACTAAGTTTCTTTAGGATGGGTAGAGCTGGGCTCAGCAGGGAATGGGCACACACATTGTTTTTCCTCCTGCCATCTTCTTTTGTTTTTGATTCAAGGATATCAGGGCAATAATTCAGTTCTTCCCAGATGTATCCAAAAGACCTGGAGGGCCCAGGGGATTTCTATCTCCTCACACCTTCAAACTCTAACCCAGGACATGTATTGTTTTATTAATCTGTGCAGGCCTCATCAAGCTTAAGAAAGACTCTAAAGCATTGTATCAAACCAAGTACTGCAACACCAGGTTTTTAGCAACACCAGGTTTTTAGCATAGACATCCCTTCCCCAGCATGTAAACTGGTTGAAGTCATGTGAAGCATTAATAAAAGCAGGAATAAATCCCCACATTTGTCAGCAAATGACTAAACCCTTAATATCCCATTCCTTTCTCAGCTTTCATTGTGCCAATTCGCAGAAAGCCTATCCATTCACTGATTTTCCTATCAGCAATTTCTGCTGAGCTTGATATGATCTGAACTTCTGGGATGGGGCAGGGGGAGATTTCTCCCTAAATGAGATTGCCAACTCTTCTTTTATCCACCACAAAGTAATCCATCCAGGGGGCACAAGCAGCATCTGCTACTTTACAGCAACTAAAGCCCAGTCTAGAAAGGAGGGCAGCATTTCCCTGAGCCAGATCCCAGACAGCTTCAGCTCTGCTCAAGAAGGGTGTCCAGGCTCCCTGGCAGCACTGAGGAAAGCATTTTGCAGCAGCACACCAGCACCTGGCTCTTCCCAGCACAGACAACTTGTGGCATTCCTTGCTCTGTGTCCCATTTGGGACAAGTGGTGCCATGAACACCTGAACACAACAGTCCAGCAGCTCAATGCCTCCCCATAAGCCCTTTCCAAGGCTGATGCTATACCTGTGTGGACAGTTTTGTGGCTGGCGAGGTTCCCCTTGTAGCGGAAGGAGGCCTGGCAGCGATCACACTTGTAGGGCTTATCACTGTGGACTTGCAGAGAGTGTCTCTTGAGAGAGGCCTCTTCAGAAAACCGGCAGTCACACTCATTGCAGAAGAAGGCTCCATTTTCTGGGAAGGCAGAGAGAAAAGCAATGAGATGTATAGTCTGGCACCTCAGTAGCTCATGGTCTGGGGTTCTGCTGCAGAGGGGCAGCCAACAGAGCAAGCACTGGAACAAGATGCTGAGCCCAGATGTTTGAAGCCAGCAGCACTTGCACCATGCTGTTACCTCCGCAACCTTCCTGCGCACACAGCAAGAACACATGTGACTTAAGAGGACAAAGTAATCCCTGGCCACCTCTCCTTTGGTGTGACATGAGCTACCGCTTATTAAAGCTGCTTCCACAGCACAGAAGTCAGGTATCTCACCTAGGTATATTTCCAGAAGGTCTACAAAAGCACCCAACTACCAGGCAACCTCCAAAGGATGCATGCTCAGCCCTGGAGCAATTCCAGCACCTGTAGAGGCCTTAAAGCTTTATGCGTACAGTTGTCTTCCCCGAGTATGGGAAGATTGTCAGCATCTAGAGTGCCTGGTAGGTCTGCTGTACAAAGGTATCTAACTTAAATGCTTCAGCCTTAAGCATCACCAAACCTGGGTTCCTTTAGTCAATCTCATCCCACACCACAGGAAAACAAACAATCCTGTGTTCCCCCTCCCTGAGCTACAGGCAGATGGGTGCAAAGATACTTGTCTCTGGGCTTGTGGAATTTTGCAACAGGATTGCAAACCTCATTATCTGCATTTTTCCAGATGTGCACATTGGGCTTGCTGATAATGAAGGCACTTGACGGATGAATGAGACGCACTATATTGCCCAATCTCTATTAGGGTCATTACATCTGCCAAGCTTGTTCTCCCGTGGGTCTGGCAGGGTGGGGAGTACTTCGTTTCCTGTCCTTAGCTGCCAAGGTAGCAGCAGGTGACTAACTTCTCACACAAAGCATCTAGATGGTGTTGGGAGGGGAAAGCCAGAGGAGAGCAGAAGCAATTCCCATGTGTGGGCATCCCTCACGTGCATGTACAGAGCCAGCCAGGCGGTGGGCAGAGCACTGCAAACTGCTGACCCATCAGCATCAGAGACAGTTTTGACTGGTCACTTGGATGAAGGGCACTGCATGGATAGAGGTCCCTAGATTGATGGGGCCCTAGACTGCACAGCCCCACTCCCTGCCAATTGCAAATGCAAGCAGAGATGGAAGACTCACCGCAGCTCGAGTCAGAGTATTCAGACTGGGTTTCCCCCATCTCTTCTCCAAAGGTTGAGCCAGGGGTGTGAAGGCACATCTCAGCATGTTGTGGAGACTGGCAGCCACAGGAGCTGCACTTTGATGAATGCATGTACAGCGGAGACTGCCCTTCACTGCTCCGAGGGGACCCATCCAGGGACCTGCGGAAGGACACCAACACACACAGCTGTGAGAAGGCCCTTGCTGTGCTTGAGCTATTAAGCCCTGGATGTTTGCACCCTTCCAGACATGAGGAACAGCCATGTTTTAGGGGGAGACTTTTGTGGAAAGATGCACAGCAGAGCCCTGATCAACAACTGGTCCCTCATGCTTCAGGTGCCCATATCAAGCAATCTCAAAGTTCTTTAGGAACATCCAGGTCCAGGGTATAGTGCACTGTTCCCAGGCAGCTAGGCCTTTTCAGAGCACACAGCCAACCAAACGCTCTGGGAACAAGGACTCATGTGAAAACAGGCTGGGTGAATCCAGGCTCAGAAATCATCCAAAGCTGTAGAGTGAGACAAACATTCCTGACCCAATGTTCCCAATTTCACTGCCAGACCAGGCCCGCACTGCTACTGTGTGGATAGCTGGCACTCAGCCAATGTCACTGGCAATGCTCCACTAATGCAGAAGTTTCCACCTGGTCACAGCCAGACTCCCCATCCCAACATCACAGCAATTTCACACACTTTCAAACCCTCACCAACAAAGTTTGGAGGTCTGTTATTCAGGGGAATCCTCTCACCTGTTAACAATATTGTTGAGTCTGCTTGCTTGTGGGATAGTGGAATCTTCTCCACTCACACTCATCTTAGTAGGGGATTGCACATTGAGATGTTCTGGCTCCATGGACTGCTGGCAGGTAGACATGGGCATGTAGGTGCGAGGAGAGAGGGTTCCCATCTCATTCTGATCAGCACTGTCTTGCTTGGTGCTCTGATTAAGAGAGTTGAGAACAATGAACTTATACTTCTTCCAGTTGCAGGCTTTGGGGTCTGTGGGGCTCTTGGTGGCGAGAGAACTGGAGCTCTGACCAATACGGGCGTTCTTGCTGCTGCTGGACTCCGTTGGTGAGTTGGGCTGACAATCTGACTTCTGTGGGCTCTGGGGACTAATGAGTCCCTTGCGGTCCAAGGGGGTGTTGGTGGGCTCAAAGTGCTGGCTGATCTCATCTTCTGAAGACGTCCGCTCCTCCTCTTTGGCCACTTTGTCACAAGAAAAGTAGGAGTTGTTCCGGACTGAGGGGACAACAGGTTTGGGGCCAGAGGTTACGCTGTAGTGCATGTCACTCCTGGCTTCTTCAGCAGCAGCTTCTTTTGGAGCATAAATTGTGGCGTGGCACATGTTGGCCGAGATGTCAGTGATGGTTCTCATGTACTCTGTGGGGATTGTCCGAGAGCTGTCACATGGCAGAATCCTCTCCTTGGGGAAGGCACTCGCCCTTGAGAGTTCAGAGAGGGGCATCCTCATCTCCCGCAACTCATCATCCACAAGGAAGCCATTTAGAGGGAGAGGGCTGTATCCAGGGTAGGAAATGGAGGAGCCAGACAGACTATTGAACAAGCCAGGTGCAAAGGCCCTCCCATCACAAAGGGACCCATTTCGGAGATGCATGCTGCTCTCTGAGATATCTCTGCTCCGATAAGCCATCGGCTCTGGGTGGCTCAGCATCCGGCCGGCCAGAAACTCTTCCCTTGGAGTCTTCATAGCAGACACCATCTCAGCTTCACTGTAACCAGGCAAAAAGGAGGGACAGAGTCATTTCTATACTCAAAAATGAGTTCCCACCCAAACACACCATCCCAGGCGCTCCAAAGTTCCCTCATGGCTCTCACCTAGATTTGACAAACCTTCGGCAAGTATCAACCACGTGCTCCATCTGCAGGTACAGTGCTGTGGCCATCACAGCCATGATATTGTTCTCCCTCAAGTTCAGACGGGATGTGTACATGAAGTCCAAGAGGATGCAAAACCCTTCAGGGTTGATTTCGGGGTCTAAATTGATGACATTCAAGTTGCATTTGAGCTGATCAGTGAAGATGCTGTAGAAGAGGCCACTGAAGAGAAGAGACAGAGAGAAAATGAGTGTGATGACAACTCAGAGGAAGAAAGAATTTGTCTGAAATTCTTTAGCACAGAGGGGTTCCTTAATGGTAAAGAAGCCAAAGGCAATTACTGCATTCCCTGAGCTTCCCCCTTATTATCGAGCTTCGTTTCCCAGCTTAGTAAGCATCTTCTGTACTGCACTTTTACCAACCGGAACAGCCTGCTTTCAAATCTCACCTGCTCAACAACTGCTCTGGTTTAGAAATTCTTCCCTTTTTTTGAGGTTGTTCTTACCACTGCCACCCCCTTCCTGCTGTGTCTCATTTCTTTCAAAAGTCTCTTGGGAGATCCACACATACTTTAACCAGAAAAAAAGGAAATGTTGGCAAAACATTTTTCAAATGTTCTAATAGCTAAATCCTTGCTTTTCCACATCCCCACACCCTGTCAACAGAAGACCCTGGAAGGCATCTGCAGTGATTCAATTGAATGACAGTGGGATGTTAATTAAGAGTTTGCTAGGAAACAATCCTGGACCTGGAAAGGGATTTCAGCAGAGGTGGGTACAGTCAGCAAACTGGGGGCCAGGGAGAAACAACTCTAAAAATAGCAGTGACAGAGGACACTGCAGTCACAAAGGACTTGCTCACCCCAGTGAGCATCCAGCCCTGCCTCCCCTTCCCTACTCTGATGGAGCCTTCATGCTCCACCTTCAGAGACGCAGCCCATGTCTGCCACACTCCTGTTCATCTCGAGGGACTGCGTGTAGGCTATGTATGCGCGCAAGGAAGAGGGGTCTGTGCACCATGCCACAGATAAAAGGCCTCAGTTCTAGCTCCTTTACTAGTTAGAGGCTTCTTGGCAGCCTGTTTGAAATCCACTTCCCTGCCTCAATTTCCCTGCCTATAAAACCTGCAGGCTTCCCAGGGGACTCAGTAGTGTTGCAGGTGGCCAAAAGCAGAGGGAAGAGAAAGCGAGAGGAACATGTTCCTGCACTCACCTGCAGGCCATTAGGACTGTTTTGTGAGCTCTGAACTGTTCCCGGTTCACAATGATGACGACGTCAGTCAAGATGTCCCGGCTTCTAAGGCGGTTGAGATTGAGGAGGACATCGCTCGCATGGCGGGTGAACTGGATGCAGCTGTCTGCTGGCGAGGCCATCTTGAGTCTGCTCAAAACAGAAGGCGGAGAAAGATGGGAATGGAGAAGCAGCTGGGAAAGCACCCTAAACCCAGCAGAGAGACAGCTGCCACTCCAGGAAGGGTTTAGATGGTGAAGTGTGGCTGGTGGTGACAGCACCAGCTTCTCAGCCCCAGGAGAAACAACAAAGAGGGATGTGACTGCATTTCAGCTTCCACCCCAAGTGCCCGCCAGGCTGCCCAGCAAAGTCTCTTGAAAGAGCCAGACCTAGTGTGTCTCGGCTCCACCCAGCAAGCTGGTGGGTGAAGGCAACCAGACCCTCCTGATGATTAGCCAACTGGCTCCTATTTCTCCCTGCCTCACCCATGGTGGCTCCACCCCAGCCCACTCCTCCCACCACAGCTGCTCCCTTGGGTTTGTCTCTACAAAGCTCTCAACACGCTGTCTTCCCAGTCTCCAGACCTTCCTCAAGCACCATTCCCCCACCCATCTGCTGGCTGGCTGCAGATCCAACTGTGGGAATCAAAACTGTCCGTGTCCCAACAGAAGCTGCAAGAATTTCAACATCTGGAAAATAGCCCATGGTGAAGCACAACCCTCAGTCACCATCAAAACTACTCAAGAACCCTCTCTGCTCCCACAAGACCACTTTGGAGCAGATCTGTCTAAAATTTCCCAATAAATCAGTCACAATAGTCAGGAGCAGAACCCATCTAACCTGCTGGATTGCTACCCACACTTTAGCCCATTCTCTCAAAGTGAGGAAGGCTTGTGTTAGGTTGAGGAACATGAGGCCTTCCCCCAACACAATGACCTTTTGATCTGTGTCAGAAATGCCCTCCAAGCAGTCTGCCACCTAGCACCAGGACAGTCCAAAATCTTTGACTTTGGGCTGAAACCTACATCTTAAATGTGAAATTCTTCAGTGAGCAACTCCCTCCTGCAACCTCATCTCCTCCTCCTTTCCCAGTGGGATATGAACGTACAGTATTTTCTACAGAGCAGCTGCTCTCCAGAAAACAAATTCCAGCTGGGTCTAATGAAACATTTCATTCAACATGTTTAAGGGAAGCGGGGGGAGTACAAAATTGAAATGTACATACCCAATGCCTCAATTCACAGTCCAAAAGTTTCTTTCAAACCTACAAATAAAGCACAAGAAAACAAATGCCATATTAGCCGATATATACAAACTGACCAGGAAAGGACACGAGCTTGTTGTTTTGCTGGTGTATCAGTGGGATAAAAGCTAGAGATAATCAACCTTCTACTCTCCAATAAGGTTAACATTTGTTTCTTCCGGTACAGTATGTTCTTATCACAACCACGGGCTTTGAGAATCCAATCATAGCTTCTTCCACACCCTCTAGCCCAAACCATGGGCGTATGCCAAGGAGATTCATTTCCATGACTCAGGGACTTAAAGGCAGGTGGGAAAGGGAAGCCGAGCAAGAATGTTCTCACCACTTCTTTCGGAGATAACTCTCCCCTGCCAAGACCAAATTCCCAGCCAGTGCCATATCCAATACCAGTGCCATATTCCCAGCACCTCATTAACAGGTATGACTTACACATCCACTGCCACTCTGCTCAGAAACCTCGAAAGAGCCTGAATTCAGTCCTCCAGAATAGCTACTGCCCCTCTCAGGATGCCAGTGCACTTCAGACACCATGAAAATACTTGGGAATGCTACTCCCAAACTGACTTTGGAAGATATGGGCATAAAGTACTGAAGGAACTTGGCCAGGATCACATAGGAAGCAAGTGGCAGAGATGGAAACACAGCCAGAACAAACACCTTATCAAGGCTAGTGGAAAAGCTTTTCCCAAAACTGTAATTCTTGCCTCTACCTGCTGCTTTCATGGGCAAAATGACTGGGGCTGCAGAGCAAGGAAACACAGGAGTTAAACGCCTTCCAAAACTCAGGCTATTATTTCCTAGCTTCCTTAAGAAATAATTAGCACAGCTGACCTGGTGCCAATGCTAGGAAGAGGGCTTTCAGGTGGCTGCTTTGTCAGCAACAAGGAAAATCATGATAAATAAGCACACAAAATCCGTGCACCCCCAGGATCCTCACCATACTATTTTTAGGACTGATCAAAAGTTCTTGGGAGCAAAGCGACACAGATGACTTCCGGCACTTGCAGGGATCCCATCCAGCTCTGCAAGGACAAGCGTTCCCTTCTCTCTCCCCCTTACAGATGCTCAGATGTAGAGCTCTCCTCGTGTCTCTAGAGACACTGGAGCAGGAAGAAGCGTCATCTAAGACAAGGTATCGCACGCAAAGCCCAGAAGGGCAGCTCCGTTCCAGAGATCAAATGCAAATCTCCAGAGCTGCTCTGAGCCCTGCTATCGTAGAGCTTCACACACACACAGTGACTCATTTCCCAAATACTGCAGACTCTGACCTCTCTGTACACACTGACTGCCAGCCGCTTGCTACCTTCAGTCGAGAGCCAAGGGAGTTACAGCCATCCATAAGCAGCCCAGCACGCATCCGTGTTTCCGCACCAGCGGATCACGCACGTCCTGGCTGACTGGGTCACGTCCCGACCTTGGCCGTGCCAGCGGCCCCGCCACCAACTCCTCCAAGCTCCTGGAGCCTTACGCCGGTGTCACCGAGGCATCACCAGCTGACCCACTTACAAACTAACCAAGTTACAAACTGCAGGGTGAACTCTGCGCCCTTGAGCGTCACGTGAGGAGCTGTTGCTGTCACCGAACTCCCTTTCCCGCAGCGAGGGCACCCCGCTGCCCTCCCACCCCCTCGCAACCTCCTTACCCTGCACAACCATCTCTCCCCAGGGCCGCCACGGGAGCTGCCCAGCCCCCTGCGCCGCCCACGGAGCCAGGCAGGTGCATCCCAAGCGCTCCCGGCTGCAGGATGTGGGCGCGCAGAAGGAGAGAGACCTTCCTTCCCCCCGCTGCACCGAGCTGGGCTTAGCCCTGCCCTTCCCAGCCGTTGGGCAGGACCATCGGCACGCGGGACGATGCCGACACCCTGGGAGCAGCAAAGCGAGACGGGAATGGGAAGCAGCCAAAACCGCGGCAGCTCAGCAAGGCCTTCTCCGCTTCCGCTGCCAGAGCCCATGAGGTGCCCGAGGCTTGGCTGCGGCAGTAGCATCACCCCGAGGGCCCCCCAGCTTTCCAGCTCGGTACCTTGCAGGTGCAGGCCGGCCCGCGGCGCTCAGGGCTGCGCGGCGGCGCTCGCCAGGGCTCACAGTGCCTGGAGAGGGAGGTCCGGGCCAGGCGCATGGCCCATGTCGGTGGTGGTGGGGCGGCTTGGGACTGTTAGCGCTGCTGCCTTCCAGGAAGGCTGCGGGTCTGCCCCGGCGCTTCACGGAATGGCCCTTCCCTGCCGGCACCTCCCCGAGAAAACCCATTCCTGGAAGGGAGCCCAGGCCGGTGCTGCCCTGCCCGGGGTGGCTGGCTTGGCAGGCAAGGGATGGAGCACAGGGCTCCGCACGCAGGGGAAACCCTCTGGGCTCTGCTCCACCCACGCCAAGGGGGGACCCCCACTGCTTCCCCCGAGCAAGGGGGAGATCCTGGTACCTCCTCCCCTTCCATCCAGCCTCTCTCTGACTTATAGCAAATCCCTTTGCACCCCCTGGTGCACAGGGAGCCTCCCCACCATGCACAGGATGATGTCCTTGCTCCTCTACCCTCTTTGCATGGAGGGGATCCCTCCTCAACCCCTGACCACAGCGAGCCGGCAGAGACAACCACCACCACCCTGCAGTGTCCCGCACTCCTACCAGAACCTCTGGGCTTCTCCTCAGCCCAGGGGGGCCGGGAAGTCTCTCTTCCCCGCAGCTCCATCCCACACAAGGCTCTGAAACCGCCCGCCCAGGGGAAGCGCCATCCTGCCCCCACTCCCCCATCCCTGCCCAGCTGCAGGGCCCCACACTGCAGAACAACCAGCTGCCCATGGGGACAGCCCTGCTACCAACCCCAACCAGCCCATCGAGGGACACCCAAGTGCTCCCATACAGGGACTAGAGGCAAGGGGAAGGGGCAATGGGGGACCCTCAGGCACAGCTAGGGTTCTACAAGCCCTGGGGAAGAGGATGTGCAAGTACCCAGCTCTGCTTTCCCAGCATCACACACAGAGGGGGCACTAAGCATCCTTTAGCTATCAGAGCACAATTTTATTAATTTAGTGGCTTCTGTTGGGTGCCTAGACCAGAACACGGCTTCGTTAATAATAGCCAGAGAAAGGCAAGCCCGAGAGGAGTCCTAGCACACACTGTCAGCACAGATCAAAAGCAGCATCGCTAGCACAAGCCCTGTCGTTTTTTCCATCGTACCCTTCCGTGAGCGGATTGCACTCGCTGTATCGAGCGGTCTCTGCTAACTTTCAATCTGATCCAATTTCCTGCCAGCAAACAAATGTTTCTAGGAAATGCAATACATTATCTGGACGGGTTTATTATCAGCACTTGGAACCACGAAAACGGCATATTTTCTTGAGCGCTGCAGGGAACTTCAGAGTCTGTACTTCAAAAGCAGATTTAAAAGGATTGCCCTTGAAAGTGGGCCCAGCTCAAGTTGTTTTGGTCTTTGCAAAAGAAAACGCAGAGGGAGGAGGGAGGCGGGGAAGATACTAAAAACATCTCCACTGTTTTCCGCTGCAAGGATTCCCCCTGCCCTTTGCATAGCCAAGATCCGACTAGGAGACAGAGCCAACAAGCGCCCTTGGGAAGCAGGGAGTCAAATCTGCTTCAGCATTTCAAACAACCCCTAGCAATTCAGCACGTTAATTTTTCAACCAAAGGCAGGAACCCCATCTCATTTGAGGCCAAGGGAGCTACTCAAGGGAGCAGAAGACTGAGGCAGCGCTTGCGCACGCAAGCCCTGCACCAAGACACTGCCCCGGCAGCAGAGCGCACCCCGGTCCCCACTGCTCCCAGTATCGGGACCCAGGACCAGCACAGCTGCAACACATCAGCCCAAACTCATGCCAGGGCCATCACTCACAAGCCAGCACATCCCTTCCCCTCTGTCTACGCTCCCAGGGTCAAGGTGGCAACAGCCCATCATGGCAGCAAGAAGCCACGCAGGCATCCAGCCTGGACACAGCACAGCCCCCGGGGGGACACCTATACAGCTTGGGATCTGCCAGAGTAGAGATCCATCCCACCCTATTTATTTAGCCAAACAGGCTCGAGGAGATCTGTTTCAGAGGGTGCCATGCCCAACATGAGACGTGTTCCTCGGAACCCACCACCCTCCAACACACATATCCCAAGCTCTCCTTGCTGCACAGAACCACCACACGCTCCTTGGGTTTCCCCCTTTTTTGGGCATGCGAGACAGAACACAGACCGGGAGAAGGAGAGGAGAGAAATAACACAGCCCAGAGGGTTCTCCTCTCCCTTGCTCTCTTGGCTCTCCCTGCGTCCTAGGTGTGAAGCTCCGCTGAGCTTGCAAGGGAGTTGCACAGCCCTGAAGGCAACACAATCCCCGACAGGAGAGGAGAAGTTTTTTGACTTTCAGTGGCCTGCTGCAACTGCGCACCAGCAAGACTTAACAATTTAAAAGACTAGATTATGAATTATAAGGTGGATTTTGATTTAAAAAAATAAAGATGGGAAGGCTACATTTGCAGTCTAAATCTGCAGTCTCAAAGTTTACCAGGCAGAGCTAACTTCTGAACGCTCGTTTAAACAAACTGCGAACTCCTGAGGTTCACCAATGCCTGCTGTAAACATGGAAACCAAGTGCCACTTCTTGCCAAAGAGAAGAATGGTTTAAAAATAGATCTAGAAAAGTGTACAGGCACTGGGTATACACGACTCCCGTTTATAGACTCACTACGATAAAGTGGAATGAGAGGTTATGGACAGGCACTCAACTTCCCACCAAATTTAGATTTTACAAACTTTTCAGAAAGACAAAAACAACATTTCAGCCTCCAAGTGAATGAGTAAAAGCTCTTCAGAGGGAGTTTTCAGCCCAAACATTGCAGCCCATGAGCTAAAACAGGCGTCATATGGTTTAGCCGAGTACAGTGACAAAAATACAATGAAATACATGAATTGCACAGTGACAAGTCCGCAGACTGGTTAGAGCTTTTACTTATCTATACAAGCTTTTTTTTTTTTTTTTTAAATGGATACTAAAAAGAAGGGACACTCACCCCTGCTCCCAAAACATAGCATTGCCTCACTAAGTTTTATCA